AACTGAAGGACAGGATCAAAGTTAAGGACAGAAGCTTATAGTTGATAGACGTATGCCCAAACTGCCCTTAAGCCGACCACCTTTTTCACTGGGAACTACTTTGAGAGAATGTGTCACATACCCATCCAGTATCAGATCCTTTTGTGTCCATGTCTCTTGAAACAGTAAGACGTCAAAATTGGCAACATATTCTTTAAAGGCAATGTCTCAAGCTTCGGTTGACCATCCCACTATATTTCAGGACAATAACTTATGTGCAGGTCTTTCTTGAGAGAGAGAAGATCGAACAATGCAACGTGAAAGGAGACATTTGCTGTTTAGATCACTTAGGTGATTAATAGCAGTGTCTAACCCAATTGCCTGTTGTTCCAGCTAGCATTTACATAAAGACTGTTGTGGAGAACAATAACATTATTCTGTGGAGTGTAGTTCGATTCCCAAGGGATGTTACTTTAGGGACAGGTAAACAGAGAACAGAACCAGGCCAAGAACAGTCCACCATTTCTGTAAATGCTGACTGGAGGGTTAAACCCCCAGTAGAGCCACATTTATCTCTTGTGTTTAACATATTCACAGAGCCAGGTGTCTTCTCAGCAGCCAGGCCCCCTGGAATAATGGTATTTGCATACAATGCCTGGAGGGAACCGTTATCCCAATATCAATTCACATTGTGCCATTCCGCTACACCACTGTTAAACTGTCTCCACTTGCCAGTATTACATTTCCAGTATTTCTCGTAGTTGGGGTCATCCATCCATTTCTGATTGATGGTAAATTTCCTGATTGGCTCTTTATTCCATCCAGTATTTCTCCTTCTGGACCCTACATGTGCTTTTCTGTTTCCGATGAGAACCGGAATTGCATTCCCCACATTCTGGGGACGTACAGCTCTTTGTCTAGTGTTTAAATATTTAGATTTCTTCATCTGTAAATAACTGAGAGCACTGAACTTGGGACTGAGTCACCTGGTCAGTAAGGTATAAGCCCTCTGGGAATGTGGTGTCTATGGTTGGTACAAAATCACTAGCTGGATACATCCCAGCAACCTTTTCCTTCTGTATTGTGCCCTCCTCTCCCCACAGTCCCTTTGTTAGTGTCTTTTTCTGCTGTGATTTTAGCAGGTTGTTCCCTTGTGATGGTATCAGTGGTTTCTAACAATTTAAACAGTAGTTTAAAGTTCATGCTCCTTTTCTTCTTGACCATGTGCTTGCAGCCCTCCGTTTTCCTACCATTCTTACACTTGGTCTTTTTTTCCTTTTTTATAATGACACCTTTCCTTCTGTCTTTTAAGCTTATATTTGCTACACCATCTCCTGACCGTACTGGGGATTTTCTTGCAACTATAGAATTCTGATGAGGAACATTACAGTCGATCATTAATTGAAGCTGTTGCAGTGGGTCTTGACTGCACTCCTGTCTGTGAAGCTATGCACAGTAGTAGCTCTTTCAGAGATAGGCCGGCAATTATGTCTACGGTTTTGGGTGGTAGATTATAATAATTAACCTTGTCAGGCAAATCTGAGGAAGTGACATTCTTCCTCTGCCCCAGGAACTCCTCTGGGTTTGTTGGTGGGATATGTTCTGCCTCCCTTAAGTGCCTTAATATACCAGTCACAATCTCTTTGATTTCCTTAAGTGTGTCTCTAATTTCCAACAAAGAGTTCTGAGTTGGGAATCTTCCTTCATCCCTTTTAGAAGCTGGTTTATCTGGATAAATGGGAATAGATGTTGAAGGGCTAATGTTATCTGTTACTCTTTTAAGGTTCTTAATTTTGGTTACTTCTATAGCTTGGGATTCCAATGGCAAATTTCTTTGGCTTCTGGGTTCATTAATTATCACCAGATCCTCAGATGGTATAACAAGGGAGATCAAGAATTCTACAAATCTTAATTTGCCAAAGTCCACACTCAAGCTACTGTTTAATTGACCACAATCCAGTATCTGCTCATCATTCAGTAGCACTGTCTGGTAAATCTATAGGCAGGATTGCTTGTTTTTTCCAAAGGACATTCCTTCCTGTAATTGATCCTAAGGGCAGAAGACTCCTGGAACTTGACAAAATTGTAATTGTGGCTTGCTTCTTCCTCCTCCCCTTTGCAATACTGTGATTCTTCATCTCAGCTTGATTTCTATCAGAGTTTTGAGTGTGACCCAAAGGGGAGGATGGGGCCGTGGAGGCTGTGCTATTCCTTGCCCTTGCCTGATGGGATTCCAACATACCCTTACGTCTTTCGTTTTAAGATCAGTAATAGGAGTAATAAATAATGGTATGATCCTCTGTATCTGGTGTAACACAAGGGGAAATAATGTCCAAAATCTCCACATCACTTTGGGGAAAATATGCCGTTGTCTACTTCAGGTATGAAAATATACCTTCCCTTCTAACTGCTCTGAGACAGCACTGTTAACTGCTGCAGTCAAACCTCTTAGTCAGAGTATTTCTCCAGTGGTGCTTAATTAATTAATCTCTGCCCAACCTCATACCTCAGAATTGTAAGATCTGCTGGCTGGCGTTTCTGCTTTTATATGCAAGAGGTTCTTCAAAGACTAACCAGTTTAGATGAGCTGCCACTGAGTTGAAATGGAGAGGAGTGAGGGAGTGCACAAGGTTCACAATAACATACCTCTTTGTGATCCCTTGAAGCTCAAAAGTCGCAAATAACAGTGCAATAAGTTGCTTATGTTAGCAGCAAGTAAGCAAAAACTTGAGCAGCAAATGCTGTTAGAATAAATAAAACACAACACCGCTGCCTGACTGTGGCTGCAGAATGCACCCCTGCAGATGTGAGGGCAATCTGGCTGTGACATCTGTCACCCCCATTGATCGCCAGGGTTAATTTTACTGATCTGGCTGGCTAGGTGCTCCCCTTCCTCCCTCACTGCAACATGTGCGTCCCTCCCAAAGCTGCGTGCTCAGTGGAAGGCAATTGAAGGAGTGTATGGTTCTTTGGTCAAGGCTATACGATAGTGACAGATTTTACTTTCCTGGGCTCCATGATCACTACAGATGGTGACAGCAGCCACGAAATTAAAAGATGCCTGCTTCTTGGGAGGAAAGCGATGACAAACCTAGACAGCATCTTAAAAAGCAGAGGCATTACCTTGCTGACAAAGGTCCGCATAGTCCAAGCTATAGTTTTTCCAGTAGCGATGTATGGAAGTGAGATCTGGACCATAAAGAAAGCTGACCGCTGAAGAATTGATGCTTTTGAATTGTGGTCCTGGAGGAGACTCTTGAGAGTCCCCTGGACTGCAAGGAGAACAAACCTATCCATTCTGAAGGAAATCAAGCCTGAGTGCTCACTGGAAGGACAGATCCTGAAGCTGAAGCTCCAGTACTTTGGCCATCTCATGAGATAGCTGCACTCCCCTGCTAGAACCTCCAAACAAGCAATGAGTTTAATATTTACATGTTTCTCCTAGTATGTTATTTTTAAGTTCTGTATTTATTTGGAGTATACTTTTAGTAACTCTTGGCTGTAGAAATCTGGGAATTATAATGTAAAAAGTAATTTTTGAAGCACTAATAAATACTAAGCTACCTTGTTTACTTGCCGTTTTAAAATATTTTTCAAATCTATCGAACTTTATTCTCTATTAGGTAGCTGCTGAATTAATTGCCAAAGAAGAAGAAGAACAGAAAAGAAAAGGCAGAAGAAAAGGGAAGAAGGAAAAAGCAGAAAAGGGGAAGAAGAAAAAGAAAGGAAAGGAAGCAGAAGGAAAGAAACCGAGGAAGAAAGAGGAGGCAAGGAATTCTGCAAATTATGTCTTTTCTGATACATATTGGGTAAAATCTCAATGGAAAGCATGTGTGTGCTTTTTTGGCATATCTGTAAAAGACAGATTTGATTACAAAATATTGAACTGTATGATCTCCAACACCTTAGGGACTGCTCATGTTGAAAGCTTCAGTGACCCTGGAACAAGAATTTTCAAGAGCTTTTTAGGGTCAGTGAGGTGACACTTGTTTTCTTTCCTGTTCATCTAAAATTCTCACATGCTATGTTACTTTATATTTAAAAAGCCTGAGATAAGAGCTGCCTGCCACCCCAAAGCTTAGATTGCTATACATAATGAGGAAATGGGTCATCCCCCAATCTTGTTCTTCAGGTTACCAAATAAGATCTCTTTCAGCTCTCAACGATGAACCAGTCTGTCTGGTGTTTGATATTTTTGGACATTTCCCTTGTCCTTTGGCAGAAGTGATAGCTGCCCATAGAAAACTGTGGAGAATCCCAGGATTTTACTTAATTGTGATAGGGTGACAACATGTTTCCCTCAACAAAATACTGCAAAGATAAGGATTTCCTGTCTTTGACATTTGATGTGAACTGAGAAATCTTTGTGGTCACTGTGCATATATACATAAGGACTCCCAGTGCAGAAATTCTAGTTTCAGAATATAACAGGTTTAAATCTTCCCCTCCACCACTCCCCTTGTGTATAATGTAGCCCTTACAAACAGCTCCTTCTCAGTCTCTCCCTATATGCTGCGTTATAAACAGCCCGCAAGTGTTTCAGAATGGAATAATTCCTCACAAGTAAGATTAACATTCCTACTTGCCTTTACTTTTTCCACGCGTATTTCCTTTTCATCTTTTCAAAAAAGAATTAATTATTATCTGCAGCTAATAACCCCCCCCCTTTCCCCTCTCTTTTTCCATCAATATTTTTTCTATTGGACATTTTGTAGCATCAGCTGAACTATTTTAAAAGTTCAGCTTCAGCTAATAATAAACAGCTCGGAACCATTTGCTGAATATAAATATAGAGAAGCAATTAAATTCAACTTCTCCATAAACTTCAAAGAAACAGAAAAAAGAAAGAAAAACTTCAGATTCAATTAAGTGAAAGAAGCATTGCAGCCAGTCTAAAGATATAAGCAAGCCAAATGTTTCATCTATAGTAGTGCAGGCAGTTAACACTATAACATAATCAACATGAAAGATCACAGTTTCATCTATAGTAGTGCAGGCAGTTAACACTATAACATAATCAACATGAAAGATCACAGTTTCATCTATAGTAGTGCAGGCAGTTAACACTATAACATAATCAACATGAAAGATCTCAAAAAACTACATTGTTTAATCATATCCTGTGTTTAGGACTACAGATGGGCAAAAAGCTGAAAATGAATCAGGAAATTTATGAAAAATTGCCAGTTCATTGCTTTGTATGTTCAGGTTCATCCAAACCGGAGAACCTGAACTTACACAAAACAATGGATTTTGGAGGTATAAGGACCTCTTGGTTTGCTGTCCCCCCCCCCAAGTTTTCCTCTCCCTCATTCCCACTTGCCCTGCCTCCGTCGCTTCCCTCCCTCCCTCTTCATCCACCACCGCTGGGGCCTCTGCTGCCACCATTTCTGCAAACAGTTGCTAGCTTCCCTGAGGGCAGCCTAGCCTGCCATGTCTGCCTATGGTCTGCCAATCAACTGATTAGCAGGCCATAGGCAGACAGGGCAGGCTCTGCTGCACTAGGGGAAGCTACAGCTGCTGTCTTTGCAAAGGTGGTGGTGGCAGAGGCAGCAGAAGATGTGGATGGTGGGGGCAGCAGAAGTGGTCGAGTACAAGATAGAGTGGCAATGGGGGCAGTGGAAAAGGACAGGAGAGACAAGGTGTGGGGCAGGGGGTCCGCTTTTTTTTTTAAAGACAGCCTCTGAAAAAACCCACACCCAATGAACTGATCCATGGTTGATCAGAAAACCTGGTGAAAAATTCATGGTTCGTCAAGGTTGATGAACCACAAACTAAGATGAATCACCATTTTGACAGTTCGTGCCCATCCCTATGTAGGATTGATTTCAGAAGAGGAGATAAGGAGCTCTCCAGTACTTATCTCATGAAATTCTCCTAAACAGTAGTGTCATCACAATAATCTTTTAAAAAAGTGTTAGTACACAACATGCCAGCTATATCTAAGAAACAAAAGACATCATTCCAGCTTAATCTCATTCAACGTCATTCACAATTGCATTCACCTGTAAGGCATTCTAATATACGATTGTCAGCACATAAGAGGATCCCCTTCCTTATTTTTAATCTCCTCCTTAGTATTGTGGGGATGTCAAGTGGCAGGCACTGAGACAATTAAATGCTGGCTGTGTTCTTTACTGGCTATATGCCCACAATTATTACAGAGGACAAAGTATGACACCTCACAAAGGTAGATCTTAGTCTCCTTATAGATTGCTGCCACTTTCCTCTCTTTACAGATGTGCATAATTGAAATCTTCCCAATCACCAATAAAGAAAACACATGCCTATTCCTCTTTCTGTTCCCCGGTCAGGTACAGAGGTGCTTGCTCATAACAGGTACATTCTCAATCACATTTAGGCTCATCTTTTCCCAGTAAGCATGTTCATCTTCATTCGCCTTCTCAGTGCCCGGTGCTCTTCAATATTTTTATTAATGACCTGGATGAGGGAGTGCAGGGAATGCATGTCAAATCTGCAAATGTTACAAAATTGGGCGGAATAGCTAATACCCTAGAAGACAGAAACAACTACACCTCAAAAAAAGAAAGAAAGAAAGAAAGAAAGAAAGAAAGAAAGAAAGAAACCAATTGCACATTTACAAGATGGGGGAGACCTGGCTCAGCAAAACTATGAGAGAGAAGGATCTTGGAACTTTCGTAGATCACAAGCTGAATACAGTATGAGCCAACAATGTGATGTGGCTCCAAAAAAGGCAAATGCTATTTTAGGCTGCATTAATGGAAGTACAGTTTCCAAATCCCATGAGGTGCTAGTCCTTCTCTATTCAGCACTGGTTAGGCCTCACCTTGAGTATTGTGTCCAGTTCTGGATACAACACTTCAAGAAGGATACTAACAAATTGGAACAAGTTCAGAAGAGGGTGACAAGGATAATCAGGGGGCTGGAAACTGAGCCTTATGGGGAAAGGCTGAAAGAATTTGGCATATTTCGCCTTGGGAAAAGAAGACTGAGGGGTGATGTGATGACACTTTTCAAATACTTGAAAGGCTGTCATACAGAGGAGGGGCAAGATCTGTTCTCAATCATCCCAGAGTGCAGGACATGCAACAATGGGCTCAAGTTAAACTAAGCCAAATTTCGGTTGAATATCAGGAAAAACCTCCTATCTGTTAGAGCAGTACGACAGCGGAACCAGTTACCTCGGGAGTTGGTGAGAGCTCCCAACACTGGGGGCATTCAAGAAAAACTTAGATCAACACCTGACAGATATGCTTTGATTGTATTCCTGCATTGAGCAGGAGGTTGGACTTGATGGCCTTGTAGGCCTCTTCCAACTTCACTTTTCTATGATTCTATAAATCAGAGAGACAGGATCAAACACTTGCCTCTCATAATGAGCAGTGCACAGGAATAGTTTGGACCCAACCCTCAGAATCAACAATGATATTGACAAGGCGCTTTGTAGCACTACATATTTATTTATTTTTTTATTTATACATGGCAGCAAAAACCTTTACGCACCTTAATGTCAATGAAGTCAGTTAATGTACCTTCATCAAAGCCGTCTTCCTCAGAATCAACAGCTGTTCCTAAAGAGAAGGGAGGGAATAAGAAACCAAGCAGCATAAATCACAATCTTTTGTAGGGCACAGTTCCAGTTACTTTGATGAAAATGACAGTTCAGTACCTGGTTCACCATCGCCACTAGAATCCTCACCAGATCCAAATGTAGTGGATTCATCTTCTTCTTCTCCAGTAAAAAAAAAACTAGATATACTGGGAAGAAACTTTTATTCCACAGCAAGTCTTGACATAAAATTTGCTAATTACCAGGCAGTTATATCAGCATATAACCAGTTTATTATGGAAATGTTGAATAATTTATTACTATCATTTCCTGAAATAAAAGAGTGTTAACACTCTCTTTTCAGCAAGAGATTGTACTTTGTCTGCACGTTTAATTAATTTTGTTAGGCATGCGGCAGACTGTTCAGCCAAACCAATGGTGGTAAGCAGTCACACTTGAGAAGACATGCTTGGTTAAGGTCTGCTAGTATCTTAGATGATTGAAAATCAAGGACTGAAGACCTCCCTTTTGATGGGGTGATCTTTTTAGCAAGAAACTTTTCAGCAAGAGATTGTACTTTGTCTGCACGTTTAATTAATTTTGTTAGGCATGCGGCAGACTGTTCAGCCAAACCAATGGTGGTAAGCAGTCACACTTGAGAAGACATGCTTGGTTAAGGTCTGCTAGTATCTTAGATGATTGAAAATCAAGGACTGAAGACCTCCCTTTTGATGGGGTGACCTTTTTAGCAAGAAGAAGAAGAAGAGAAAAAAGAAGAAGAAGAAAGAAGATGAAGAAGAAGAAGAAGAAGAAGAAGAGAATGCATGGCCTTTTAAAGAAAAGAAAAAACAGCAGCAAAAAGAATGGTAATCTCTTCTCAAAGCTATTTCCAGTCTTAGAGGCAGGCAAAATCTTACTGGACAAAATACAATAATTATGCAAAGAATAGGTTTCCAATGGATCATTTGCTATCATCTGAACATCTCAAACATTCAGTCCAAAACCGAAATACAGCAGGTGTGCATCAAAATCAACTACAGAGAAAATGGATTTTTCACATCAGTAAAAACATTAATTTGAATTATTTGGCACAATTGGCTGCACCTATCTGAGTAGCAAACAAAATTATAACCCCTAACTTGTGCTAGACTAGAGGCTACTATGTTTCTGTGCTGTTTCTCCCCACCCCCATAGCGAAAAAGAAACTCCATGTTTCAAGCAGGCAGTGTGAGTGTGTGGGGAGGGGGCAATCACAGAGCAACTGGCAAACTTTTGCTCTTAAGAGCAGGAGTGTAGAAATTCAAACCAGACTACAAAGCTACTCAATACAGCAGCCTCAAGTGGACTTACGTGACCTCTCACAAGCATGTACCATCAATTTCTGGACTTCTGTCTATAATTTTACTGCACTATCCATGGAGGATACTGCTATCAAGATAAGAAAGGGTTTCTATTCCTAGTACTTTACAGCTCTGAAAAATATGGCGATTTGCACTTAAACTTGAGAGGAGTCAACAGGTGTTTTGCCCCAAAGAAGTTTTAAATGGTAACATTGGCAGCAATCTTACCATTGCTAAAAATGATAAATTTGAAGAACTTCTCTCCATCAGAGTATCATCTTTTTCTCTAGAAGGAAAAAAATATGGATTTACCTTCCTTTCATTTGGTCTGTTGTTGGCACCCAGATTATTTACAAATTCTGCAGTGCTAGGGGCAGCTTACCTAAGAGTCAAATGGATTGCCATCCTTCTTTCTGTAGATGACTGGTTCCCAGTGTCATACACATGAAATACTGTGGAAAAGAATGTGAAATTTATATTACAATTATTTTTCGATCTCGGGCTTCATGTAAATCTTCAAAATACAGTTGACTGCAATCAAAACAATAAAATACATAGAAGCTATTCTGGATTCTCCTTCAGCAAGAGCATTTCTGTGGAAGGAAAGAGTGCAGGAAATCATAAATCTTACACCATAAATAATGGAAAAGACAAATATTACAGCACATTGAGTCCAAAAACTGTTGGGTCACGTGGCTTCAGCAGTAGCGAGGTATCCAAAGCTCTGCAAATTTGGTCACTACACAGTTCTTACAGCAAGAGATGCAGACGTTCCAAATGTCTTATATTTTCCTGAACAATTGAAATTTCAATTTCATTGGTGGACATGTTTTGGAATGTGTGTTTGGTATTTGGAATATGTGCCTATATAGTCAGGCATGTATTCCAAACACCTTCCAAACAGCTACAGTTCACAGGTGTCAGTCAGATAGGATGGAGAACACATGGCATGGGAAATACCATTAATGCAGTCTGGTCACCTGTGGAAAGAAAACAACCAATGTGTTGCTTTGAATTGCTAGCAATACTCAAAGTAATGAAGACTTTCAAGCTCACACTGATCAGCAAGGTAGTCCAAATAGCAACTGACAACACAACAGCATTAATACAGATAAACAAGGAGGAACCCACTTTAAATCTCTGGTCATTCTGGCATCTCCCCAATGGGATTACTGTATTGTATAGTCAGGCACATATTCCTAATGGCCATTCATGTTGCAGGAGAAAATAATCACAAAACAGAGGAAATCAGGTCACTAAGCAGACGTGTGGGGTTTATTATAGACGTATTTGCAATACAAACCAACAGCAAATGTCTGGACTATTGTTCCAGACCAGGAAAACCAATAAATTTGTTAGGCGATGCTTGCATCATATACAGTGGTGCCTCACTTGACAGTGACCTCGTTAGACGAGGAAATCACTTGACGATGAAGTTTTGCAATCGCAAAACGATGTTTTAATAGGCAAAAATTGCTTAACGACGATCGGTTCCCTGCTTCGGGAACCAATTTTTCACTTAACGATGATCTTTACAGCTGATCGTCGGGTCTTCAAAATGGCTACCCGCTGTTTAAAATGGCTCCCCACTATGTTTTAGGATGGATCCCTCACTTTATAGGCACCGAAAATGGCTGCCCTATGGAGAATCTTCGCTGGACGCTGAGGTATTTTGCCCATTGGAACGCATTGAACCGGTTTTCAATGCATTTCAATTGGCTTTTTCGTTTCGCTTGACGAGGATTTCACTTAACAGCAATTTGAATCGAACAAATTATCCTCGTCAAGCGAGACACCACTGTATGTTGAAAGGGAGCCCTTGTGTATTTTTCCCACTTATGCTTCTTCCACTCAATAATAGGCAAAATCAAACAAGAAATATTGAACATTATCCTCTGGTAGTTGTGTCAGTCATAGTTTGCTACACTTAGATTAATGTCCAAAGATATCTACAATTATTACAGTGGCCAGATCTATTAACATATCATGAGGAACAGTACATCACCCAGACATAGAAATTCTGAAACCATCTGCTTGGGTAATTATTCGAAAATTTTATGATAGAGTAGCACTAAGGAGGAGCCAATAATGGCTATTGTATATAATAATATTATAATAATCTTAGAACTGCAGAGCTGGAAGTAACCCTATGTATCATCAAGTCCAGCCCATCAGGGAGGCACAGTGGGAGATCAACCTCTCAACCTCTACCTAAACCACTGAGCTAACCAGCAGCATGTGTGAAGGGAATGGAGAAGGGGAAGTTTTAAAGCTGTTATATTTTGAAGCATCCATAGGTTTCCTGCACAGGTGCAGGAAAGCCTTATGTGTGAATTCACAGTTGACCACTCAAAGCACCACAATTATAGATAAGTAACCTGCCCATCTCTGAGCATTCCATATTCTCTAAGATTCCCTATTATACAGTACAGTGAAAATCTATTGTGGGCAGAACAAGAACAACAGGCAAGGTAGCAAATAATAAAAAAAGAACATACTTAGGAGACACTAAAAAAATAGGTGTAGTAATGCTGTATGCAGTACTAATGTGATCATTCTTGCTAAATAAACTGCTTGAGCATTGTGACGTAGCAGGCCACTCTGATGTCACTGCCAACTCAGGCCTCTCAGAATGCCCACCACACTACCTCACACTCGCTGCGACCAATTGTAATGACAATTTAAGAAGGACAAAGGTTTCCTTCAAAACCTTAATAAGTTGTTTCATGGGAGGAAAGCTAAAGTGCTTCCTTCTCATGAACACAGAGCGCAACAACAATACATCATATCAATTAAACAATCAATATATCAAACAATAGCATAACCCTTAAATAAACCTCTTACCTGCATCATATTTTACACTTACATACTTTACCATTTCCACGGTTCCTTAATGCATATTCTTAACATTTAGATACACCATTTAAACATTTGTTCACATAACCAATAGCAATTTTACCTGGTACAAGCCCATCAAACTTTTATTACATATATCAAATTAAAAGTCCAATTATTTCTTTCTCTCTTCAATCGTCGGGTCTTCTGGAAAGGCATCTGCAGCACAGTTCTGAGTCCCTTTGACCACTCGAACCTCAAAGTCAAAGTCCTGCAAAATCAAAGCCCCCCTCATCAGTTTACTGTTGTTGGCTTTGATAGTCCTTAGCCACAACAGTGGGGAGTGATCAGTATATAAGACGAAATGTCTCCCCCAAATACGGTCTTCTGGAAAGGCATCTGCAGCACAGTTCTGAGTCCCTTTGACCACTCGAACCTCAAAGTCAAAGTCCTGCAAAATCAAAGCCCACCTCATCAGTTTACTGTTGTTGGCTTTGATAGTCCTTAGCCACAACAGTGGGGAGTGATCAGTACATAAGACGAAATGTCTCCCCCAAATATATGGCTTCAGTTTCTGGACC